CTCTTCTTCTTTTCGAATTTTGCTCGGGCCAACAAGGCCTCTCTCTGTTTTCCTTTTTTTTTTTTTTAAGATGCCTTGTCGAGGCCCGTGTTTTCAGTCTTGTTGGTTCTTGAAATTTCGTTTTCATAATTTGGGAAATGCATGGGAATTGCGCGCGCTTTAGCAAGCGCGCTATGAATTTGGCTCGACAGCAAGAAATTCCGAAATGAACGGAACCCGACGTGTCCTTTTTGTGTATGAACGTTCTCGACTACGTCGCGAAAAACTCTGCGAATTTGGTGGGAATACGAATGGATATAGGACTGTCTTTTTCCCGCGCCTACTTTACGCACAAATATGGTGATTTCAATTTTTAAATTAGTATAGGACTTAGGAATCAGTAACTGTTTTGGTGCCTCTTTTTGCATTTGTGATCGGCGCCATGCAATCAAGTTTCACCCTTTCTGCTCCCCTCGCCACCGTCGATAGTCTCTCCGCGTCCGCGCTCACTCTCTCTCTGTAATCGTTTTTCCCTCTCTCTCTCTCTCCCTCCCCGCCCGCTTTTTCTCCGTCTTGATCATCTTAATCTTGGATCCGTTTCACGATATCCTGAGCACCCTTCTGCCTCCCGCTCTGAGTCCTATGCCCAAGAACCCAGTCGATCCTCTTTTCACTTCGTTTAGCCAAGGAGAAGCTTCGTGTAAGAGGAAACTCCTATTACGCGACGACTCTGATTGGCTACGATCGGACTCAGAAGGATCAACATGGCTTTCACCGGGCAATTATCCCCAAATCCTCTCTCACCCTTCCCTGACTCAATCTTCATCCTTCTTCGTATCTACCTCCCTTCCCGCAACTATAAATCCCGCAAGCGCGCCCGCAAATCTCTCTCTCAACTCGTCTGCCAACTTCCACGAAGCAGTGGCTAGATGGTATGTGTGGTGTGCGAGTCAAAAATTCCCGACTGGCTGACTGTAGTCTAGCCGGCGGTGCGCCTGATCGCCACGACGAACTGTGGGATGCGAGCAAGCCGTGCAGAGACTAAGTCAGCGGGGTGATGATCGAAGTGGTGGAAATTGACACGTGACGGCTGGGATCGTCAGTGCATGCACGGGGATAGTAATCCGAGTTGAATGGATGAATGGCCCATGGCCATAGTCGAACTTCACGCCGGGTGCGCCTCCTTGTCTCGAATCTATTCCTTAGAGTGAGTTCAGTTCGACGGCAGTTAGGCCAGAAACACTTTATCATCATCGTTTCTTGGTGTAATTTTCATCTATATTGTCTGCTCTGCGTCTTTTCCTCCCTACCTCCTCTCTCTTCCTCTATGACATGAACAGTTATAGATGCTTGTCGATCTATTGCACACGAGGGATGGGATGGTTGTTTTGGCTCACGCTTAATTAGTCAGGGGGATGACGAAGCAGGGGTGCAGAGCACACGAAGAACTGAGTGGTGTGTGGCTACCATTTTTGCACCTTCCTTTTATGAATGTCTGTGGGAAATGAATGAGAATGCCTGGATGATGTCATAATGAGACGATTGCCTGGTGAACTTGTCTCCGACTAGATCGTAGGATTGTTGTGATTGACATGTGGAATGCATGCTAGATAAAATTTCGCTATTGCCATGTGGACCGATTGTCCCAAGCCAATTGGGCGCCGACCTCCCGCATCCCTGCCACGCCCCTTCCCGTATAACCGGAAGAGAACGCGTGTATGCGGATGAGACGTGCGAGAAGCCGTCGCCAAAATCGGCGGAAGACACTACTTCCCTCCTGAAACTCGATGCTCTGGATTTGTCGGTGCTGGTTTTGTTATTGTGGACACATACTTTCCGCCTTAGCGCCCCATTGGCCTAACACTCTGTGCAGCGATTGTCGTCGCTTCGAGCATTACCAATCGAAGGGCTTTCACTACGGAGTACGAAAGGAAGATTAGCATAAGGAAAGAGCCACTCGGTTAAGGCCTTCCACGTCAGATTCAGAGTTGTGTAATGAGCGGCGTCGAGACTTGACCCGAAAACGAGATACCAAGTATGTGCCTGCCCCCTTCCACGGGAAACGAAAAGCGACAGCTCGATGGGAAGTTCAGTGATACTTTATGGATTGAATTTCCCCGCGCCCTGCGTCCCGCGCGCGCCTTCTCCTCCCTCAAAACCCGCACAGTGACGGACCCTCCCCCTTCTTACTAAGTCGGACCGGCACAGGGGATTTCGGTTCTGTCCATGTCCCCGCACTCAATTTTCCAAAAATCCTTGGCACACACCATCCCCAAACACAATTTCAAACACTCCAAACGGAAAACAGCACAGGGCATGAGGTTGAGCGTCACACGCCAGGCTCATGCAATCTTCTACAGGCCCAATTCAGAGAGTCTACCGAGCACGATTACCTAAGCAAGGCAGGCCAGCACAAGCTGACACATCCCACCATCCTTCCCCTAGATTACCTAAGGCTAGGCGGAACTAAGACTAGCCGGGGCGACTTATATCCCTACCCTACCCTAGAGCCAAGCCATGCATGCGTAGACCCCGTCATGCACATTTTGTGAGTACTGCAGCCAAACCCTGAGAAATCTGCCCCCACATCCCCTAACCCCCACCCCCCAAAATCTGGCCCCCCATCCCCCATGCCCCATCCCCCAACCCCCGCTGCCCCCAGTTGTGTTTTTGCGTGTTTGTGTGTGATGTGTGTGTGTGTATGTGTGTGTGTTTATATGTGTTTGTGTGTGTTGTGTGTCTGTGTGTGTGTTTATGTGTTTGTGTCTATGTGTCTGTGTCTCTGTGTCTGTGTCTGTGTGTCTGTGTGTGTCTGCCTGTCTGTGTGTGTATGCATGTCTTTTTTTCCTTTTTTTTATTTGTTTTTTATGGTTTTGATTTTTTTAAAAATACACAAAGTTAAAAAAAAAAAAAAAAGTTGTTGTACATCTTTGAAAGATCTACAAACCTTTATTTTTTATTTGGTTTTCTTTTTTTGTTCTTATTTTTTATTTGGTTTTCTTTTTTTGTTTTAGCCCTTAAAAAACCTCTGTGAAACCCAAACACAAAAACCCTCATTTCATTTTTGTTTTTGTTTTTTTCCTTGTGCTTATGTTTTTTTTTTTTCTAATATACTCAAACATCAAAAATAAAAAATAAAAATATACGGTTGTAGTCCTCGAAAAGACCAACACTATATATATTTTTTTCGTTTTTTGGATTATGTTTAGACCAGGAAAAAAATCATTGCGGACCGGGGTATCATCCTTCGCAAAGAGGTATCAGGCGATGACAGGCGTGAAATATGTGGCACTCTCGGCCTAGGAGGCCTAGGAGGCACCCTCCTCCTCCTATCCCGCAGCCTAGGAGGCCGGCAATGCCATTCTCACAGGGGAGCAGAAACATTTTTTTTCCCCTTTTTCCCAAAGGCCTACGGCCTTCAGATATCATCATCATTTGAACTGACGGACCCTGGTAATTCAGAATTGCAGTAACAGCTGCTTCCAAAGGAGTTCGAACTCAAGTCCATAACAACTGCTTCCAATGGTGGAGATCGAACCCAGGTTTGAATTTTTTTTTTTTTTTTTTTCTTTTTGTGCTTTTGTGGTCCGATGGACCACGGATCAGATATTAAACTGATCAAAACAGATACATCACTTGATCTGTGCCAAAAGGCCGAGAAAGGTATAGGTTTGAATTTTAACGGTGCAGTGGAGTACCAAGTAGCTGAGACAAAAATTGGAGCATACAATTTTGTGTGAAGGGACGCCGGGCGCGTTTCCCCTGTGGTAAAATAAATAAATTCAATAAAACGTGAAAACAAAAATGTCAATCAAAAGACAAGGAAAACGGTTTTTTTTAAAGGAAAATCACAATTACCGTTTTATCGCCGCCCGATCCATTGGTTGCTATTTTGCACTTCTGTTTGGTAAAACTCAGCATAGTGCGAGCAGCCTGCAGTGCTACCGCTCCGCCGAACACAACGCACCCTCATTTTGACTGTATAGCGCCTTTTCAGGGTGCGATATGTTCGGGGGAACATGGTAGCCATTCATTCCCATGATGTACGTGGGAACGGAAGGTCAGGGTGCGAATGTGTGTATATGCAATCCAAAAATCGAGCACACAACCTGCGGCTTGCCACCGGGCCCCCCTACACACACACTATATGGGCCTCGCTCCACTACTTGCCACCTGCACAAAGGACAAAAAATGGGGCGGTGTATCTTTCCATCTTCTAGCAGAAGATGCGTTCTCATATTCCACATTTGGTGAGTAATGAACCAAGGCCCTATAAATGGAATTCAGTCCCGCAAGACAGCATCAAGCCAAGTGCTGTTGCGGGTTATGTGGGAGGACAGACCCCCTCCTTTTCTTCATCGATTGTAACCATGGCCTTCACCATCCTTCCACCACCATCATCATCATCATCATCATCATCATCATCATCATCGTCGTCGTCGTCGTCGACGTCTCTAGCACCACATCATTATTTATCTTCAAGCGAAAGCGCCATTTGCATAAAACGAACAGAATTATCGCACTTTATTTTAAATACGTCATGCATGTAGCTCGAGTGTTCCAACGGAGAAAAAGGGAACGAAGCATACCAGAGTAAGTAAAGGGGAGAGTTGAACCAAAGGGAGACTGCAGAAACTGAAGGCGAGTGCCATACGATTCAAGTGTACTTATCAACGGTGATACAACAAGAAGTTCGCAGACGAATGGCACCCTTGCTTAAGCCATATCTTAGCCCAAACTTGTCTCTCCCTGCATCTCGCTTCCACCTCTTCAAGGATTTCTTACCCCCATTCTTGGCATTCTACTTCCAAATACTACACTATAAGAATCCACCTTCTGACATCTCGATGGTACTCGAACCCACTATATATTACCGGCAACAGGAAACGTTCACGTAGTATATCCCGCGACAGTTTCCTCTCTGTCTCTCTCTCTCTCTCTCTCTCTCTCTCTCTCTCTCTCTCTCTCTCTCTCTCTCTCTCTCTCTCTCTCTCTCATTCTCTTTCTCTCTCTCTCTCTCGCTCGCTTGCTTGTGTTTACTGTGTCGTGTATTTGCTAAACACACTCGGCCGCAGAAACAGGGCGACTGGGACACGCTCTTGTGTGCGCCCGTGGACATGGGCGACTCAACCCATCTCTCTCTCTCTCTCTCTCTCTCTCTCTCTCTCTCTCTCTCTCTCTCTCTCTCTCTCTCTCTCTCTCTCTCAGCCCCGATATCTTCCAGTCTCCTCACTCTCTTTTCTACATCCTAGAGCCTCCCGCGACGGTATGTGGTCATGTTACTCGTGTATACCACTATCTTCCGCTAGTCCAAGGAAGGAGCAACAGTATTTTCCCGTTCATCCCTGCCGACTTCCCCATCCCCGTCCACATCATGCGTCGGCCTTTAGTTCCCTCTGTGGGGTCTCGCCTTCATCATCTCGACCCTTTCTATTGATTACATATCGTGTCCAGATTTCACTGCGCCTTCCCTACACTTCGTTAGAAACAAGAACCCTTGCGCAGACACGTTTTGGCTATCTATTTACACCGTCGCCGTCAGTCATCCGGATTCCGGATATCGTCCACCTGCCGACTTTCCCGTTAGATTCGCAACGGCGACGCTCCCGATCGGCAGGTTGCTCCTATTCCTCTCTCTCTCTCTCTCTCTCTCTCTCTCTCTCTCTCTCTCTCTCTCTCTCTCTCTCTCTCTCTCTCTCTGCCCGCAGCGTCTCCCTCTCCAATTGCTTATTCGCAATCTTCTCCTCAAGCTTAGTATGCATATGTCCATCCATGGACGCACAACTGTCGCGGCTGGCATTTCCATTTGAAGAGATCGCAGTATACGGTGCCATCGTCGTGTCCACGATCGCCTGAGAGACTTGACTCTTGAGATCTGAATGCAACGACCACCCGATCTCTCCACCTTCTCTGAACTTCTTTAAAACGACACAACGGCCAAATTTATCACATTTTCAAGCTGGGAATCGACGGGGATTGACTCATCAGTCACACCTTTCGAACTCCTTCGAGCCCTCCTCCCCACACACTTATCCATAAGCTGTTGCTAGCATCGCAACAGGGAACGCGCACAGATGTATACAGGACGACGTGTACCAGAATCATGCGCACACAATTTCGCTGCCATTTACCCGACCTCCATGCCAGCACCGCCATCCGTTCGTGCGTGCGTTCTTCAGAAACTCGCTGTCTTCTTCCTCCCTTCCATCCTAGACATGTCACGAGACTCATCGATTGCTTACGTTACAGGACGAAAGTTAAGTTTGAATTCCCATCGGGGTGATGGAGTCCGGCTCAAGCCCTCGTCAACGAGCAACGAGTAACGAGTTCGTCATTGAAGGGAACAGAGAAATAACTTAATCCAAAAAACTGATAACCACAAAAAAAAAAAGGAGAAAAGGGAAAAGATAAGCGCCAAAGACGAACAGTTTCCACAAGACGCAATAGGAGGTTAACTGAAATCTAACAAGAACTGAAACACCGAAAAAACGGTTTAGGAAATTCAGCCCTTCACCAGTTGAACGGTATCTGCCGCAGTCCGCAAAAGCCACCCACCCATGGCCGCGCATGCTGCTCTCCTCTTGCAGCATTGCACTTCTCCGAATCCTGCTCCTCGCCTGTGCCTGGATCGGCAAAAGCGTTATTCACATAATATTCAGTGTTGCATGTCACCAATGGAACATTGTTCCCACCAACATCACATCTCCATTCCTCTCTCTCTCTCTCTCTCTCTCTCTCTCTCTCTCTCTCTCTCTNCTCTCTCTCTCTCTCTCTCTCTCTCTCTCTCTCTCTCTCTCTCTCTCTCCATGCATGCATGCAGGGGACGTGGCGTGAGTGTGTGTGTACTTCACTGCAATCTGTGAGGATGCAGGTGCACGTTGGTAATCGTGTTTGTGTGCGCGCGCGCACGTGTGAGCATGCGTGGGCGGGTTCCTTTCCAGAGAGTAAGCAGTGGAAGGGGAAGCGGCATGGGAAAAGTGTTTTCTGGCACGGCAGTTCAAAATGAGCGGTCAGAAGGGCGAATCTTATTGCCTTGCTTATCTTATAGCCCGAGATGAGCTCGCGGTAATAAGTTAAGTTACCTTTACCGGTTCTTCAGAGCGCTGCCGTAACTTTTTTGTTTCTTCAAAGCCCTGCAGTAACTTCATCGTTTCTCCGAAGTCCTGTCGTAGCTTTCTCCTTGCCTGAAAGTCCTGCAGTAACTTTATCATCTCTTCAAAGCCCTGCAGTGTCGTAACTTTCTCCTTGCCTGAAAGCCCTGCAGTAACTTTCTCCTTGCCTGGAAGCCCTGCAGTAACTTTATCGTCTCTTGAAAGCCCTGCAGTAACTTTATCATCTCTTGAAAGCCCTGCAGTAACTTTATCATCTTTTCAAAGCCCTGCAGTAACTTTCTCCTTGCCTGAAAGCCCAGCAGTAACTTTATCATCTCTTCCAAACCCTGCAGTGTCGTAACTTTCTCCTTGCCTGAAAGCCCTGCAGTAACTTTATCCTCTCCTGAAAGCCCTGCAGTAACTTCACCGCTTCAAAGCCCTGTCGTAACTTTCTCCATGCCTGAAAGCCCTGCAGTAACTTTATCATGTCTTGAAAGCCCTGCAGTAACTTTCACGTTTCTTCAATGCCCTGCGGATCCGAAGTACGCCAGCTTCCTTCATGGAACAACAACCCGAGGCCCCCCTCTTCTCGCCACCGCGATTTCATTCTCATTACTATGAGATCGCTTCTCCGTCGACAAGATCCCATGATGTCCGAGCACAACGTTGCTTAATCCAGCTTCCTAGGACTGCAAGGAGTCCTCTCACCATCACTATGTTGTCTACGTCACCACCGTTAGTTCCCTTCGCCCCCAAAAGAATCCCTTGATTTCTAAGCACAACCTTTCTACACTTCCGTTCCATTCCAACGACACCTCCGTTCCATTCCAACGACACGTCCGTTCTACTCTACCGTTAGCATTTGTGCTGCCGTTCCATTCCAACGACACCTCCGTTCTCATTCCTGTCCATCTCACCAAACCAAGCAACATGCTCGGTTTGGTGAGTGGACGACTTAAACTTCCGTCTACTTCAACTGCTCAACATGACTGATGTCCCAAGAGCAACTTGCGCCGCAGCGCTGCTCTTGCGCATCTCTTATGTCGTATGTCGTACTCACACTACGGCTTTCTCGACCAAGTCTGGTCATTTTCGAGGGGTGAGTATGCCCTCCTTATTGAAGACTGACACTCTGGAACCCAACTGTGTGTTGGTACATTTGAAGAGGTTGAGAAACCTCATCCTCTTCAATCAGAGCCAGTTGCCAACGAAGTGGCGAACATAATTCCGAATCTATAGTCATCACAGATAGCACCTCCATAGTATAAAGACACCCGGCGACTGCTTCCGACTAGGACGGAAATCTGCTCGATGGCTATGTGGACAGCTTCCACAGATTTGCGGAGTGACTTATTATTCATAAGAATCATTTTTCCTTCCAGGTTCCAACGACGAAGTCAAACTATAAAGTCCGGCCATGACGAAGACACGCGAGGGCTCCGAATTCTCCATGGAATGGCTATACTTTCTGAGTTGGGCATCCTTTTAATCATCTCTGCTCTCAACAAACAATCACTTGTCGTTCCTCTCTCGCATACCACCTGTAATCGCTTCATTGGAGATTCGTTCCGCAGCCTCTCTCTCTCTCTCTCTCTCTCTCTCTCTCTCTCTCTCTCTCTCTCTCTCTCTCTCTCTCTCTCTCTCTCTCTCTCTCTCTCGATTACACAGGCTAGCGGAAAGTCTTGGCCGCCTGCTAACGTTGCGATGGGTGCCCGCCGCGTCCGCAGACGCATAAGTTGGGGGATGTCGGAAAATGCGCTCCCACGCGCAAATGAAGTCAGAGACGAGTGAGCCGCCACACTGCATTGCTTCCACTCAAGAGGCCTTGACCAAGGGGACACTACGACACGACAGCCAGCTCATGAACCGAACCTGAGCTGTGGGACCGACGGTAGGGTAACCAACCGCAGTGGTCCCATTCGCTTGCGTCTCGTCCCTCCTCGACCTACCACCGACGATGCGCCCTGACCAGCACAGCAGCGGTCTGCGAGAACATTCCAAACATTTGACAGCAACATAGATGTCATACGACTTGGAGATCAGCTTTTGACCGAATATATTCCGTGTTCAAGATAAAACGACCCATAATCACGGCCAATGCCGCTCGCAGAAACGCACAACCATACACCGATACCTCCCTCCGCCCCCGCGCACACACATGCACAAGCACACACATACAAGCAAACATCCACACACAACACACAATACAAGCATGCACACACAAACTAGCGGACCTCCTCACACACTTGAGCAATCGTGAGAGAGAGAGGCAGAAAGCGAAACAGGGAGAGAAAAAGGAACTTAAGAGGTGTAAGGGAGCGAGAGAGCGACATAATTCGGAGAATGAGTGTGGATGGGTGTGCGAGTGTGTGTGGGGGGGGGGAAGAGATAGAGATAGAGAGAGGGAGAGAGAGGGCGTTTAGCTCGGACATTATCAGTAGTACATGCTTCGAGCATTCATCCGGGTTTTCTTTTCGTTTTCACTTTCATTTTCAAATGCATGCGCTCGAAACGAGACGTCGAAGCAGATCGGTCGCGTAGAATGGGGGCATTTGCGACGGACTCACCTGTCAGCCTCGTCTTGCATGCAAGCTGAACGGGTTGACCTTGCAGCGGGAAACATACACCCCCTGAATCTGGGCAGCTGGTACCTGGGCATATGGCAAGTGGGCATGTAACAAGTGGGCCCTCGGCAGCCTCCGAAGCAACCTACACTTTGGCTTCTTCGCTCAGTGGACTGACATAGCGTCCATCTTAGTGCGATTGCCTTCTTCTGTTCGCTCCCCATCATCGGGGCCATCTCCGTCATATCCCAAGGATCTTTCCCTTGCTCCCCTGCCTTCGTAACGGACGGACTGCTCTCCCTCGACTCCTTGCTTACGTCCTTACTTACGGTCTGCTTTGTCTCCTTCTCCCAAGCAGAGCCTGCCTCAGTGCCTGAACCGTTTTGATTCCCTTCAGGCGGCGACGTCGGCATTTGCCCATGCAAAGATTCATGCGTGGGCGACGCCTTATTAGACCGTTTCATTGACGTTGACTTAAAGACCCGTTTGAGAGTTCCTCCCTGCCACAAAGCAGCCCACCCCTTGTTACCATTATTAGCGCCATCGGTGGGAGTGCAGCCCGGCTGCTGCATCTCCTTCTCATGATCTGTCGACTCCTTATTGCCATGAACCGTGTCCTGCGGCGATGAGAGACCCGTTTCACTTTTGCTGTTTCCTCCGCTTGAGCTCACCCGCGGGGAGACGGTCGCTTTACTAGCAACCGACGCTGCACCGGAGGTCTTAGCAGTAGACGACGTCTCGTCACTCCCTTCTTGCGTTTGGGAGTTTGAAAGTGACCTCGCTCGTGGCGAATCCATCCCGTTCGCCAGCGATTCGGGCGCCGCACTTCTAGCCTCTGCAGCGGCGGGGGCCGGCAGAGGAGCCTCGCCTTTCCCCCCTTCGTCCTCAGATATCGGCGACACTGGTTCCTCCCTCCTCGCTGACGACACCTCCATGCCCGCCGAGCGGTCCTCCGACATCTTCCCAGTCCCGGCCGTGGAGCTTGAATCCGTTTCTTCGTCGCCGAGTTTGGAGGATGACCAGGCAGAAGAGGTTCTGACGTGGCCATCTTTCCTGCCAGACACGTAGGTCGAAGCAGTCGATCCGCTCACACGTCCGAAAGTCAATATATACTCCATTGCATGCTTCATTTCCACGGCTTTCTTGGCGATCCGCTTGCGCACTGTCGGGTGTTTGCCCCCTGATCCTAGGAGTTGCTTTTGCTCGTCCTCTTCTCCGAACAGCTGCGGAGCTGGTGGCACTTTGACCGGCGGAGGCCGGATTGAAGACGACTTGGATAAGACAGTGCCCCCTTCGCCTTTCTGAGCCCCCCCTTCCTTCACGCCGACCATGAGTACTTTACCCCTGTTCTCGACTCCGTGATCGCCTCTTCTTTCTCCCTCCTTGTGTCTCGTCACCCTCACTCTCATCGAGTTCCCGTCCAGCTCTCCCAAGGCCATCTCTTCAGCCACCACGTGCTCCACCACCACCACATCGTTCATGCCCCTAGTAACGCCCTCGTTCCCCTGCATGTTCTCTCTTCCGCCTTTGCGGCCGGATGCTACCTCCTGTTTCACGACCTCATCCATTGCGACTCGTTTATCCATCACCGGGATGTCGGCAGAAGACGAGCAGGTGGGAGATCGGAGCGTCGGGGACGATCGCATGGGCGACGGCAGCGTCGTGCGCACGCTGAACGGCGACGCGAGTCCGGACGACGGGCCAACAGTAGGAGATGTGATGCTCGTGCGAGGGCGAGGGGAGGCAGTGAGCGATGGGGTGGAACATCGTCTTGGGCTGGCGTTTTGATAGGCCGACGAGGAGGCGGTGCACCGCAGTGGAGAGGCCAACGGCGAACGTGTTGGCTGTGTACGACGGGAGGACCTCATCGAGGAGGGTGCAGACGTCGCTTCCGAGGCGGAGGACGAGGAAAAGGATGACAAGGGTCTAGCGGGTGATGGCTGGTAGGCGCGCACAGGAGAGCTAAGGAGGAGCAAAGGACTGGTCGGAGGCGTTGACGAAGTCATCCCCGAGCGAGGAAACCCGAGATCCACAGCGCTACCAGAAGCCCGTCTGTTCGGTGTCGTTGCAAAATGAATCAAGCCGCTGCAGTCCTCCCCCTCCGGTGCCAAGTCTTTCTCCTCGTATAAGCTGCTAGCACGCTCTTCAATCAGAACCGCAGCCTGGTTGAGTACAACAGCCATATCCTCTTGCATGAGATCATCGTCCATTTCCTTCACCTCGATCTCGTTGGCCAGAATCATTACACCGCTTTTCGGTATATCCTCCTCTTCGACCGTATAAAGCAAATTATGACATTTCCCAACGCCCTCCTGTGCAGTACCTGCGTTCGTGGACATCCACTGGACGTCAGCCATGGATTCCGGATTGGTGAGCGCACTTTGCTGCTCCCATTTGCTTTCCTTTTCCTTCCTTCTCTCTTCCTCCTCCTCCTCCTCCTCCTTCCTGCTTTCTTTCTCCTCATGTGCTCCCTTCCCATCAGGACTCTTCTCCTCCTCTTTCTCGTCACTACGCACGACGACATCAGATGGAGACTTCTCAGCGGTCCTCCCACTGTAAGGATTCACCTCCTCGCTGTCGCCCATGTCATCGAGGGCATCCACGCCATGGACGGTCGATCCCACCTCCGACCTAGCAACCGTCTTCCCCTTTTCGTTCATAACGGCCAGTGACATCATCTCGTCCTCGTCGACCATCTCCAGCTGCATGGAAACCGCAGAACTGTGACCTGTACGGTGGAAGTTAGGCACAACGAACTCCAAATTCCCGCTTTGTGTCACCTGAAGCGCGTCCGAGGTAAACGACAGGCAGCTTCTATGCGACGACACATCGCCAGAAGAGCGACCAATACAGATGGCATTGCTGCTACCGCAGCTGCCACTCGAACTGCAACTCGTATTGCTCGAAACAGAGCCCACAGCTCGCTCCTCCGCAGGCTCTGGTAGCTCGTTCCAATCGTTGTACGATCGTGCCTCGCGCCCGATCCCAACGCTGCCATCCAGGACAGCCGCCGGACGAATCGAGTCCTCTTGACGCTGAGAATGCGGACAATCTCTCATCGGAGTGGACCTCCCGGTGCCAGCGGCCCCATCCGTCTGCTCAAGGCCTTCCGCGACCACGCCAGAGCTTGCGGACGCCGGAGGTCGTGTTCCTTGTCTGCTCTCGCTGCTTGCGGTCGGGGGGAAGAACCTGGTCGATGCCGTGGGCAACAAATTGGGAGACAGACTTTCATCTCGTGAAAACTCGTTGCCGAGAAACTCGTTCTCGAACAGATGGAATTTTGGCCCATCCTTTCGCTTACCCCCGGACCTATGACGTGGCGAGTACTCTGCACCGTCGCTAAAGATGTGACCTTCGTGCGCGGGTGGCGCAGAATAGTCCTGCTCCCGCTCCAACGACAGAGCGTCCACGTGGCAGTTTCCAAGAGCCGAGTCAGCGTTGACAGACGGCCAAGGCGATTGGACGGATCGGGTCGATAGCATTTCGCTATCTTTCTCCCAATCAATGCTCTCGTGGGGGGAGCAAGGCTGGACCTCCACGGAGGTACTCTTGGACTGTATCGTCTTGACTGGAGCACGACCAGACGACGATGCCGCATCATTGTCTTCATCGTCGCCGAGACACTTGCCACCCAAGTTCTTTGACGGAGTAGCGAAATCCCCGTCGTCATCGACAGCTGACGAACTCTTAGAAAACTTTGCGGTGAAAGCGGACTGCGCATCAAGCATCGAGAAGAACGACATGTTCGTGACAGGAGGGATGCCGACCGTGCTACGCGGCGAAACGAACGCGCTCATCGATAAGCTGTCATGGTATTCCGAAGGAGAGTCCACCGAGATGAGGTCATTCTCCCCACCGACGACTTCGACGGCGGCGGAGTTAGTATCACGCGCAGCAGCCAATTCCGGCTGCCCAGATCCGCAAAAGAGTAGGGAAAAGTCCTCATCCGCGAAAGCAGGAGCGGAAGGATATCCGCCCGCTTTACCTCCGCCTAGCTCTCCATCGCGCTCTCCCTGTCCCTCCTCTACCTCGTCCTCCCTTTCTTTTATCCTCCCTTGCTCTGCGTCTTTGCCCCTCCTGATGAACAAGGGGCTTAATGGAGCCCGCATATCCAATAGCTTATCAGCGGCGCTAGCGCGTCGTGCAGAAGCTGGCCGCCGTTGTTGCATCGAAGAGTCTTCTTCGCTAGCGCGTCGTGCAGAAGATGGGCGCCGTTGGTGCTGCATCGAAAGGTCGTCGCCTTCGCAGCTGTCTATGGCCGGGCAATCCGACGTCACACGGGTAGCGACGTCCTCTCCTCCCCCTTTCTTCGCAAACAGGCCTTCTGCTATTGCTCTACCCCACCCTACGAAAGCAGGATCTAGCGATCGAGGACGGATATCATGCTCGCCCTTGTCACGATTTTCCTCTTTCGGAAGACTTTTCTGCACCCCTGAACTCGCCGCGGGGGCAAATCGAACGGCTATGTCCGGCGACGTGGACGCCAGGCAAGGAGGCAGCTCCATGTCCCGTCCACTTATCTCGAGGGCAGCATCCTCACCCTCATTCTCCGAGGAATCAGAATCCGCCGAATCGGAATCTTTCCAGGCGCAAACTTGAATGGGATCAACAACAGCTGCTGTCTCTGTTGCTGCTGCTGCTGCTGCTGCCGCCGCTGCTTCTACTGTCTGTACAGCAGCGCCTCCAGTCGCTGCTGCTGCTGCTGCAGATACTGCCGTCTGCGCAGCAGCAGACACTGCCGTCTGCGCAGCAGCAGACACTGCAGAACTACTCTCATCACCCCCGGCCGCCGTTATTTGTTCAATCAGCCCATTCTGAGCCCTTCTAGCCGCGGCCATGGCTGAGGCCTTCGCAGCTGCGTCGGCGTGCAGCTGCGCCAGAGGTACTCCCCAAAAACTCGTTCGAAGCCGTGCACGAAGTAACAGGTCGTCTCTATCACCCACCAGCAGCTGGGACACACGGATATCAGGAAAACTGGAACGTAATCTAACGAGCGAGAGGTCGTCAGATCCCCTCCCGCCGGCGGCAGACCCGCCGGCCGTCGATCGCACGTTGTTCAGATCTCCGGTCGAGAAGTTGGTCGGTAAAGATAGTCGTCGCAGCTTGAATCGATCGAGCACCTCTTTCGCTTTAACCTGCCTCTCCAATTCCTCTTCGAAGAACTTCACCGCTTCCTTTACCTTGCTCGGCGTCCCAAACTCATCAGTCCCCGTGTTGTTGTCGCTCTCACTCGCACCCTGCGCCGACACGGACATAACCGATCTGCCTAAGAAGAGCCCGACCACTGCCGCCTGAACGACGTAGCGATTGAAGAAAACAGCTTTAGACGTCCTTGCTATTCCAGCTGAAAGACGGGACAAGCTTTGTCTACCACATGCCATCATGCCTGCAAGACATCGTCAAACCCACACATCACCCATCGACATGCAACACAACTCGGTAAGCACAGATCGACGAGCACTGCACACAGAAAAAGGGAAAGAAGGAACCCAATCTCAACCTTTCATCAGCAGCAGGACTCGGGACACGGCAGAAAAAAGCCTCCACTTGGAGTGAGACCACCGCTTTAGCAGCAGGATCACCTTCACAATGTTCAGACATCGATCAATCATTCTTCGACAGCCCTTCACGTCTCCTTATCGCTATATAAAAAAAACTTGTCCTTCTTCGATGGAATTACCATTCAGGCACCCGTCCATTCGATCTGAAAAGCTACCGTCTTAACCCGAATAGAACGCCCGGTCATTATGGCTGTACTTGGGACAACTTTCAGCCCAGATACGGCGATGATTACCGGGCGTTCTATTCGATCTGAAAAAGCCGGTCGTCGCTTTCCAGTTCTGCTTCCCTGTGCAAAAGTCAACATGCAAGTCCTGTTTCAACCTCATTCAAGCCGCAAAACGGTTAAAACTGCCTTTCTCTGTGTGAGTGGACTCTGTACTGTCCCCTACTACGCTCCCACGCTGGCATCGATTTCACCATGCCGTAAGCGGGATACTGTGAGTCTTTAAGACAGTGTAACTTTTTTTTTTTTTTTTTTTAATTTGGACCATTTCTCGATTTATGCGTGTCATCCTTGCGTAGGCGCCATGCTAATCTTCTCTGTATCGTTCCACTTTTAACGGATGTCCCGAAGGACGAGACTTGACTTTTGCATGTCTTTTTTTTTTCCCCATTCTTCCAACGCAGATGGAACATCCACAAGTCCGGAAAACAATATAGAGTGTGCCGAATTTATTTATAAGCTATAATAACTGGACTTCGAAGGCAAGGAGCTAAAAAATCCTGGCGGGTCAAAACTCGTGACAGGATATCCGGCGACGGAATTGCTACAGCCTGGTGGCCAGATTCCCATCATGTGCTCAGCTATAGAACAGACATTGATGGAAAGTGCAATGACGTGCTGTCCGCGTAGTCTTTGCTTTTGGGCCTCGCTGCACTACTCTCGAAATGTCCAAAACGAGAGTGAATCTTCCGCTAGAATATGGAAAGATGCACCGCCATCATTTTTGTCTTTCGTGCATGTCGAGAGTAGTGCAGCGAGGCCCTTTCACTTTGAATTTGAGGGCCACGAGGTCAATGTCCACGTGATTTTCTTTTGCTCTTTTCGTTATCAACGGGTTGTTGTTTCCCTGCCGTCGTGGGGATCATCGAGGAGCTTCGTCGTTTTCTGGCATAAGCTGCTCCCTGCATAAAAAGGCGTGTTCGAAAACCGAAAGGGTTTTCAGAACAGAGCCTTTCCCTGAAGGCAATCAAGGCGTGGGCTGAAAAGGCCACCCGATGTCAGATTAGACACAATATTGAATTTACCTGGGCTGGTTAGTCCGATGATAATAACTCAAGGCAAAAAAAAAAAAAAAAAAAAAAAACAAAGAACAGAGCCCACAGATCTGTAAGTGTAGCCACTGGGCCGTGGTCCCATTAGCAAAGAGCATCGGATTGAATGCCTGAATCTGGACGTGATTGAGGACAGGAGCAGGAAATGGAGATCGACCTGCTTTTCTGTATCTCTGCATAAAACATAGCCAGATTCAGCATTTCGATCCTATCCAGATTCAGCAGTTCTATCCTATCCCCTTTGCTAGTGGGACCACGGCCCTGGAGAATCCCACTGGAATTATGATACCAGAAGAATGTCACTGGTAGATTCCCTTGTTCTTCATCGATTCGTCCTAAATTCGCTCTTCATCGACAAGTCCTTTTTTTCTCACCCTGCATGTAGTCTTAACCGATGACCATGTTCTTTACCGTTCGGCGTTTTGCAATCTAGCCACTCTACATGTAGTGTTGATCATTTTATTTGCCAGTGCCAACCTGAAGGCTTTGGTGGTAAATACTAAACAGCCATATAACAGGCACATGGATTTTCTGGCCACCGAGGTTTACACCTCTCCCCGTTTGGAACGACCGTTCTCGGTCGTTTCTGGATGCTTTTTTTGGGTCACTGTGGAGCCCCGTCTTCTCGGAGAAAACGTGGATGATTGCATAATTGCAATTGACCGTAAGGCGGAAGTGAATGTTCCAACGTTTGCACCCGGAAAACGATTTTTATAACGAAACGATTTTTCGGTCCAGGTATGGTGGCAAACAAACACGTTTGCGAGTAGCCCGGCAGAGCCTCTTTTGAGGTGTATAACCATGTATCTATGCAGAGATACCTGTCCTGGACGTTTCAGCGGCAAAAATACCGCGCTGTACAACCTTTTTTGCAACGGAGGACCCGTCGGCCTTGGAGCCCTTGCCGCAGGCCATGCCCATGGTTCCTCTGTCACAAAGGAAGGTACCCCCCCCCCTTCCCCCTCCCCCTCCCCTCTCCCCTCTAAGAAACCATCCAAACACGGTAGATCTCCAACTTTACCGGGGGCTAGGTCCCACTTGCACGAATTAAGAGATACTGACCGTAGATAGCGAAGATCAACGGCCGAAAACTCCTAATTTGCGTAAGTGGGACCTTGGCCCGGTATATTTGCCGCAATAACTGCGCGGAGCGGTAAGGTTTGCTACAAAAGAGTAATGAAATTGAGTTTTGGGGGGAAATGAAAAAAAAACAATTGCTACAATACTTTTAAAAACCGGTATATCTGCAATTCGCCCATAAGAGGAAACCATCGAAGAGGCCACAGCCTACACCTCATTCGGACTCAGGGTCCTTTTTCTTTCCCACGGAGGTCTTCATCGGCGCCCAAACATCAGTGATCTCGTTGGTGGTATTGTCCGTTGAGTTCTGCCGCCTTTCCCGGCGTAAGAGTTGCTCCTGACTTCAGGGGAAAAAAAAAGAAGGGGTAACTTCGGCGCAGTCACGAAAACAGTTTGTAATTGCAGTTCAGGCAATCCCGCGAGTACAACACACCCCCACGCGACCCCACCGGACCCGAAACGTAGGTCATATACATTCAGCATTACCGGCCCTTTTGCCTCAAATGCAATTACAAACTCAAACCCTGACTGCGCCGTAGTTTTCTCAAACAAGAAAGCATTCAAATTTCCAACCGACACCGATTTTTATTTTTTTTTTCTCTTTTGACACCGATTTTTTTTTTTTTTTTTTTTTTTGACACCGAAATTTGACAACAGCAGTTTCGCGAAACAGACCACATCACGCAACGGTGCAACGGCGCAACGGTCTTACCTTACGTGGCCGTTGACCCGACGGCCAAATAAAAAGTGCCGCAGGTCCCAAATTCACTTCTGGTGTCATTATTGCACACTGGCTCGGCCGGTAACGGCCGGTGCGTAAAAATGGCGGGAAAGTGTTTTGCAGGGTGCAAAAGTGACGCAGAATGTGGATTATGCTTACACATTCCGAACGTTGGATGCATCTGGTCAGGATTGTATGACCATGTTCATGTAAAACGTTGAAGGGCGGATGCCGCGGATCCTCGTTTTAGGGGCGATCGTCGTTTCTTTTCTGAAGGATGATGGGCATTACCGCGCAAGACGGGGATGGCACGCTCCCCACGGGCGCTTTTTGTCTTTTTCTTTCTCTTTTTTCCGCAACTTCCCTACCGTCTTCAACCGGGGCCAAGTCCCACCAGCAGCATTGAGCAACCTCAACGCCTGAATCTGGACGCTTTTGCGGAGATGTGAAGAAATGGTGTCGAGTTTCCTGAACTGCACGGCTCCAGAAATACATCCAGATTCAGGCGTCGAGGGAGCTCAACGCTGCTAGTGGGACCTGACCCCCGAGTAGAACGGCCAGCCATTTTTTGCCATATCTGGACTGAAAGTTGTACCAAATACAGCTATAATGACCGGGCGTTCTATTCGGATGAAGACGGTAGTCTTCCCAAATTCCATGCGTTTGGTCTTTGCCCCCCCCAAAAAAAACAAAACAGAAAAAAAAAAAAGGGCGTGTCCTTTTTGTCACCACTTCCGCGTCAGATGATGAGCAGCCGGCCCCTCAACCGTCTTCCGCCGCACAAAGAACGGGGGGGAAAAAGAACGAAACGACTGTATCGAACCGGAATTATGACTTGTATACGCTAATGTTATAATTAAGGTACCCTTGTTGGGCGGAAGAGGGAAGCGGTGCCCCAAAACTGCCTCTCTAGTACCACGTCACACACTCCTTTCCACCTGGCGCTGTTTCCTCGCCGGGCCACGCGCGGGGTCCCACTCCCAAACCAGGTTGGATGTGGATGCGTTTCAGTCAGAGTGCAAACGCATAAACGCATCCTTTCTTTTTGAGTCTTCGATGGCCCTTCAAATTCTGGACCATTCGCCGATTTACGCGCGTCGCCCTTGCGCTCGGGCGACGATGGTCTTCTCTGTGGGCCTCGCCACGCACCTCCGGAAACGCGGAAATCTTTCTAGAGCTGTCAGACGTTCTCAAGAGTTGGGATTTCAAGAGCTTTCGGCCCCTCGCCTCTCAAAGCACACTCTCGAAAGGGCGATGGAGTTGGACAAAGGAAGGATGAAAAACGACAGTCGTACAGCTTTGTTTTCTGCGAATGGCGTCAGCATAAAGGCCTGACAACTATTGAAATTGAAAAACGAAGTCGTCCTTCGGGACATCCGCTAAAAGTGGAAAAAAAAAAAAAATAGCATGGCCCACGCATAAATCGAGAAAAATGGTCGAAATTATTTCAAAAAAAAAACAAAAAAAACAAAAAAATCGAAAGTCGTTCAAGGGTTCGGCAAAGGACGCTTGAAAATGCACGAGTTGCAGGCAGGCTTGGGTTTCCACTGTTTCAAGAGCTGCTCTTGGAAGGGGATTTTCAAGAGGTTGCCACTCTGACTGCTCTTGAAAGGGTTTCAAGAGGCTGCCACTCTGACTGCTCTTCAATGCCCCAAGTTTCGAGAGGCTGTGTGGCGATTCAACAACTCTTGAAAATGAGTTTTCAAGAGTGGTGACATTTTCAAGAGTGGTGTGGGGAGGCCCTGATTCAGATCTTTTACCGATCCACTTCGATTCAGGTTTGAACACGGGTCTGTATTTCAACAGTTGACACGTGACAAGGGTGACAAGGGCACCAAGTGAGCAAGGCGTGGACGAACGCATCCTTTCAGAACGCTTCGTACTAAAAAAAAAAAAAAAAACACATACTGACCGTAATCCCTTCTTTTCCAAAGGCAGATCCATAGATTCATAACCACCACGTATAAAAAAAACAACAGCTCAAGCCGACCACTTTGTCACAGTGACTCATCTTCTGCAGAATCTGCACATTGAGAATGACATCGTTCGTATTTT